TGTTGCAAGCTGCTTTGTTGTTTCTTCCACATTATGCTCCTCAGGGACTTTTGTATCAGTATGACTGAACATTGCTTGCAGCCATGCCAGATTGTGCTGTGATCTTATTGAATTTCACAAACCAAGGTTAGGCCAGGTCAGAACTTGGTTGAAATAACGTAGACTACAAGATTGCCTGCTAGCCACTGGGAACACGCACAACAAAAACCTGACCTAGGTGCTGATTCAGTCAGCTCAGGCTGACAGTGTTGCCATGCTGTTTGTGGTGGATGTGATAGAAAGGAGAAGTTCTGACCTGTTCTGGCTGGTAGGATTTCACAGCTTTTTTTTTTGAGAAAAGCACTAATGTTAATTCCAGTGTTCTGGCCCATTCCAAATCCTTTAATTCTCTATCAGGATTACACTGCAATTCAACAGAATATTATATTCTCTGATCTTCTTTCCCCTGTACCGTTGCGTGATGTTGTTTGCCCTCAAAACTTGCTACTGCTGTCCAGAAAGCTGCATTTCTGTGCTGGGTGAAATAGTTTTGAGATTTTCTTTGCTTTCCTGATCTTCTGAAGCAAAATAAAGTATACCAGGGCCTTCAAATGAAAGGCCCCAGAAAGGTAGAAATTATTAGTAAAAGTAACATACAGTAAATTGTAGTTGAGCTTTTCTTAGAGTTGCCTGATGTTTCTGACCAAAAGACTGTATGAAGATGAGTAAGTGTGTTCAGACTTTGCTTCACTGAGTGCATACTAGGTGGAAAATGGCATGCAATTATGCTAGAGTGCCCCCAAATGATGCAAAGATTTATTATATAGATAAGGCTTTTCTAATTATTGTAAAGATATTTGAACCTGTTTGTGTTGTATAGGAATAAGCTATTAAAAACCCTTAAAATAAACCTGTAAGAGGCTAGAAAGTGAACATCGAAAAGTATGTGATGGTGTGAAATAAAGGCCAGAATTTATTTGGGCTACATGTACCAACCTTTGTTTCATCCCACCCCACACTGAGCCTGAGGGAGGGCTGCTGGAGGTTTTGTTTGCCTGCATCTGTGCTGGAACAATACTCATGAAGTTGAGGGAAGAGCAGTACAATCAGCTAGAGATATCTTGATGTGCACAGATGTACATTGATAGACTTAGATCTATTAGAAAAGCTGAATATATCTAGCTAAGCAGCAGCTGTTGGGTACAACATAGCCATTAAGCACATTTAAAGAGTGTAAATTGTGAAGCTGCAGAGGAATTAGTTAATGAGGTACAAAAGGGCAGAGGTGACTAGGAGTCAGGGAATGAAATACTTCAGACTGTATCAGGAAAAACTTCTTGTCAGTTTAAGCTGTAGAGTAACGTGATGTCCTTCTATGAATATGTAAAATTAGTCTGGGGAATGAAGTCTGTGATACCTTGTACCTGCTGGAACAATTTGCTGTGGCAGGATGTGGAACAGATGACCAGGTGTATACCCCCCTGGAGTATTTTCATCTTTTGAAGGTTTTCGGTTTGCTTTTCTCAGTCAGAGTCTGTATTTTGAAAGTCCAAGTTGTGCTTTTTAACTGTGAAAATGTTAAGCATCGTGACTTTTAAATCCAAGTTTATATACATTTCTGCATAGACAAAATGGGGAATTTAAAAATGGAGTAGGAAGATTAGTATTGGATAAAAGTTGGGATCTGCAATCTGATTGGAAGCATTTGCCTGTTGGCACTGAGGTTGCCCATAATTGTTCTTAATAGGTAAATTATCTCTGTCTCTGATAATCCTAATCGTTAGTGCAAAGCTTGGCACTGCCAGCAGAGATACGGAAGGTGTAGTGCAGAAGGCGGCTGGAAGGAGTCTTTCATCTCTGCCATCCCTTGCCAAGGGCTAACTGTACATGCAAATTCATCAGCTCTTCCATTGTGGAGCATTTATATATCCTGGAAAGAGTGAAATCTGATAGTTAATTGCTCTGTACGCTCAGGGGGCCATTCTCCAATGGAAGAATCTGCAGGATGGGACCGTAGTTGCTGATGTTGCTACAGCATTAATAAATATGTAGGGGAATGTTCTGCAGAAGGGTATGGAGAGCTTTGTTGATTGATTCTGTTCCTACCTCCTCTGTCTTAGGAAGAGCCAGCCTGGCTAATCTTTTTTTGTGAAAACAGCATGACTAATGTTCGCCTGCTGAACAGATTTGCTGGATAAGATTTTTTTTTTTTGGCTGTTGTTTTCAGCTGTTATTTACAGGATCAATAAAAGCGATTTTCCAATTCAAGGATAATTTTTTACCAACAAGCTGCATAGCCTCTAAGGTCGGAATATTGGATCTGCTCTTTGTCAGAACAAGTTAATTTAAAAATGATAGGTAGTTTCCAGTTCAGAATTAGTTTTTCTAATAGAAAGGAGGGATACATCTGGAAGAAACATCTTGGCGGGGAGAGAATTTTGCCTCAGAACAACATCATTACATGCTGCCCACAGATACTTAATGTTTTAGCTGCTTTTCTTTAAACAATAATCACTTAACTGCACACAATATTTTAATGACAAATGCAATGTAATAACAAAATGCAGAGCTGTTTTATTATAAGCCTGGTTCAGTTACTATTGAAGTCTGTGCAAATACTCCTATGGACTTTACTGGGCGTTGGCTGATGCCCTCTGTAAAGTGCAATATAATATTTTGTGACCATTGTGACCATAGAGAAGAGTATTTCATGCCTTTGTAGAAGTATTCCGGGCCAATAGCAAGTGGATTCACACATATAAGTTCAAATGACATTCATTCCTTTTGCACAGTTATTTTATCTGATTCTTTTGTGACCTGTTGAGAAAATCACATATACATTACACATGCGCATGCATACACACACAAATACACACATATTTAATAGTTATTACATCCCTCCCCTCTGCATTTACCCTTCTCCCCCACTGCATGCTTAAGATAAGAGTCTCCATTCTAAAAGGACTGTCAATATGAGACTTCTGCAGTTCTGCCTGTATGGTTGGGGTAAGATACAGCTTTAAATTAGTAAAATCATGCAGGCGTCATTTTATAAACAGGAGTCCACACCTACTATCAGTATGAATTTTGCAGGGTAAGAATAAAATAGCCAAGAAATGTCCTTCCACTGGAAGCACTACAAATGAACTTTACATACCAGAAAAGTTGATTAGATTTTTAGATTTAAAAAAAAAAAGCAATTTTTTAGATGAAACTCAACCCATCCCAAGCCCCAGAGCATCACCAACCATAAGCAAAGTCTCTCTGCTCTTCCTGTACTCTAATAAGACTAGGACTTTTGGGGTTATTACCTAGAAAATACACAGTTTGTGAAACTCCACATAAAAATCAAATGCCATTAACTTTGAGAAGCTTTGGGTTCAGACCCCCAATATTATAAGTCGTCATCTTCCATTTTTCTCAAAGTCTACACATCTATACATTTTATTCAGCAAAAAAGAAAATGACATTCACGCTTTATGATTCCCCCTTCCTCCTTTATATATGTAGTGCATGGAGGAAAAAAAGAGGAAGGTTGGGTGGTTTGTTTGGTTTTGTTGTTGTGTTGGGTTTTTTTTTTTTGGCAGAACAATTTGATAGTGAAGATTTCTTAAAAAAATAAGATATTTTTCTTTACCATGATTAGGGTAAAGTTTTCCTTTTTTAGATGGTGAATTGTTTATAACGTTCCAGTAAAAATCTGGCTTTTGGATGGCTGTGTTGCTGATGAGAGCTACTGGCAATAGAAGCTTTCTAACACTCAACTGCTAGTTTATTAAAAGAATAATAGGAACAGATGTTTTCAATTCATAAAATGTATCAAGTAAATGGTACATCCACTTGTTATTTCAATTCCTTTGAATTTTAGTGAACTCATTTGGGGCTAGGTTTTCAAAAGAGCTTAGCCCACTGTCACCTCATTCTTCTCAGTATAAACTGATGGATGATGAACATGTTTGAAAACCACAGCTTTTTATGCCTAGAGGGGAGCTGCTAACTACTGACGCTTCTAAAAATCTGGCCCATGTTTCTGATGAGTGAATACTGATCATTATAGAGGATTCATACATGCAATCTCCGAGTAATACCCTGCATTTGTCTGTGATTGTATATATGATGGCTTCTTAATTTACTATTGCACCAGTCATTTTAATTTAAATTATGCTAATAGTGTAGGATTAACCGTGGATTATGATTCTAGCATTTACTGTCATACAAACAGAAGAACCCGTTCTTTTGCTCCTACAGTCTCTTTCTTCCTTCTCATCCTGACATACAGTAATTTGTACTCAAGACTGGCCTCAGGTTTTGATGAGGTTTCTTGTTTAAGCTGGTGCAATTGCTTAGGGAAAGGGAGTTGTTGAAAATTAGAAAAAGAAGAGACTGGGATCTTTTTATCTTCTGATGACACATTTTTATGGTGCTGAAATGATTTACCCAAAACGATGATTTGAATGGGCTCTTGCCACCGTTGCACAGTGAGCAGTTCTGATTTTGCCTTCGTTCCTCTGTGGTAGGACAGGCTACATGTACTTTGCTTTTGCACTCTTGGCTCAAACACATATTTGAGAAAACTAATGCTAGAGGGTTATGTTAAAACCCTCATAAAGGGTGAAGAATAAATAATACGTGCAACAGGACTGAGATGTTATGTTGGTCCTTGCTAGAGAAAATAGCAGGAGGCCAATGCTGTTGCTATCTCCGGTACTGAAAAAGGCTTTGTAGCAGCCTGAAATTGCTCTTCTTGAAGCATAACCTCTCCAGAGATCTCCTCCACTCCCAAACTGCAGATGTGCTGGAAACACAAATTTGCCTCGTTATGTTTGCACTTGTTTCATTGTGTAGCAACCTCAGATTGTAATGGCATGCAGCCTGTTTGCATTAGTGACTTGCTGTTAAATTCATCTGTGTTCCTTCAAATCCCTCATTTGTTGCATTTTTTGTGGAGTGCTTGATATTTCTAATATGTTAATGTTGTAGTAGCAGTCTAAAATTTGCCTTTTTTCTCTTTTTCCCTCCAGCTGATATTATTTCTACAGTTGAGTTCAACCATACTGGAGAACTGCTGGCTACTGGTGACAAGGGGGGTCGGGTTGTTATATTCCAAAGGGAACCTGAGGTATGTGAGTTACCAATGTAGTCCTTAAGAGCTTGCTAAAACCTGGCTTTATTTTTAATACTTTAATTGGATTATAAACAAACTTGTTTATAATCTCAAGATTCAGTAAAACAGAATATCACCTCTTTGGAGAGGAAGTGAAAGAGGGGACGGATCTTTTACTCTCAAGTTTGCTGTCCCAAACAAAAATGCTTCAAAGCTCCAAAATTCTAAGCTAAGAAGAAAGAAGGTTGTTTTTGTTTTACTTCTAAGTTGTTTTAATAGCTTTTGCCTGTTTGATGGAACCATTCCATTTAAAACAATGCCTTTGCCTTATGTTTCACTTTTAAATTCAGTCCATCTGCAGTATCTTTTGTAGAAAGCTTTCCTGAATAATTGACATTTCTTTGAAAATTCTGCCTTTTATTAAATGTTGCTTCAATACTTACAGGAAATTTCATTCCTGTGGAAACAAATCTGTCAATATAATGTTTTAAATGAGAAATTAAATTACACTTTCAATATCTTTATATTTATAAGGCTGCTTATACACCTTTCCTAAGAGATGGAGATATATTGCCATCATAAACCACATGTTTTGTTGTTCTTATTCTCCATAGAGTAAAAATGAGCCTTACAATCAGGGGGAGTACAATGTTTACAGCACTTTCCAGAGCCATGAACCTGAATTTGATTATTTGAAGAGCTTGGAGATAGAAGAAAAAATAAACAAGATCAAGTGGTTACCACAGCAAAATGCAGCTCACTCACTTTTATCAACAAATGGTAAGATAGATGAGAGTATATAGGCCATATCAGCATTTTGCTCTTGTGCATTTTAGTGCTGACTGTATGTATTTGTTCATTTTAATCTACTGTTTTAGTAATTTCCTCTTTCAGAGTTTACCAAGACTGTCATACTGACTCTGATATCTGTTATTTATGTATTTTATTCATAGTCATAGGGTTTTTCCTATTGACTATCCATAGACATTTAGAGCGCTATCCATTTTTGCTATTAGCATGCAGTGCTATCCTGAAATAAATTTTGTGACAAAGGCATCACCTTACTCAGCAGCTGTGTTTCACTGGGGATTTAGAATTTTGTCTGCTGTATTTGTCATAACTTTTATTCTTTGTAGATGTGTAAATGAGTGTAGGTGAGAGAGATGAATTTCTTTTTCTTTTCATTCATTATCATCAGAATGGTTTATTTAAGTTCTGAAGAGTTACACAAATCTTTGGAAGGCAGCAGGAATAATAATAGGATATTGATACTGACTCATCTTTCTAACATGCTTAAGGCCTATTGATTAAAAAAATGCAGTATTATTGCTAAGAGGGGATATGCAGATGTGACATAGGGGGAAGAAACTGAGTGGAGCCTAACATGCACAGGTGTCATTTAGGAAACATTTGGATACCCACAACCTTTATTACTGCTGGCGATGCATGAGACAAAAATATCTGATTTTAAAACTTAGATCTCATGGTAATCAGAAAAGAATTTTTCTTGTAGAAGTTTGAGCATAATTGGGAATTGCTGATAGAAAAATAGTGTAATTTCACCTTTGGGAATTAACGCTTTAGGGCAAAGTGATTACTTCCAGTTAAAATTTATAGCAATAAATAATATTTACATTTATTCACAGTAGATAGCAAATTATTTTGTTTTGTAGTCTGTTTTCCTTAAAGATGTCTTTTGACTTTTTGGGGGCACTGTTGCAATAGTTGAAATGAAACGTATCTGTTATAGCTAGGTGATTTGTGCTAATTTAATGATTAGTCAGCTAATTATGAAGTTTGGGAGTTTACTTCTGCACTTCTCCCTTGCTCAAAATATCTCTTCTACTTCAGATAATTTTAACTAAGAATGGCTTCTTCCAAGTGCATGATACAAAAGCAGATTATTAAAAGTAAACCTCTCCCTTTTCATTTTAAAGTTTGTTTTTGGAAATGCTGAGGAATACAGCTGAGCCCTCGGGTACGCTGCTTTTACAGTTGGCCTAATAGACCTTTATATCTGTTTTCTGGTTGATATTAATATGGGAGGGGAGAAAGGAAGAAATAATCAGTCTTAGTGTTGCTATGCGTTAATCCAGTTGCAGCCAATACTGAGCAAGCCTAGGACCTGGCAAAATACTTTGACCTCTGTTTTTCCCCCTTCTCAATTCTGGAGCATCCTGGCAGACCTTTTTATGGTGAGGAGAATAGAAGTGGTCCCACTGGCATAACCTTTGGCTTTTGGCTTTGAATTACAAAACATTTCTTTGTGCCAAGGAGGATTCCTAGCTTCCTGGCACAGCAGGGTTGAAGTCTGAAGATTCACCTCTTGACATACTCTTAAAGATAGTTTTAACTTTAGGATACAGAAGGTCCATGTTGAATTCCTCACTGTCTCACAGATTACCTGTGAGAAGTCATTGACAATGTATATCAATTCCATGCCTATAAAAAGGGATAATAGTATTTTCCCTAACTTGTAGAAAATGAAGGCATTACCTGTCACACATGCTCATATTGGGCAGATTGTAGAAACATCTTGAGTACTGGTTTATATTTACTAATTTCTGAGCCTGATATTTTAATGCAATTTTTGATGTTCTGCTCTCTGGTAGTTTAGGATCTAAAGCACAGTTTTGGTCAGAAAAATGAGAACTGTGAAACAGCATCCTTTCTTTCCACAGGCACAGGCGGACAGTGCCCACTGAATTTGCTGGAAGGAGCATCTCTCTGTTAGGGAACATGAGGGGAGAGTCTGTCTAAATCTCACCCTCAATATATGAGACTTGATAGGTCTGCACCTGCCCAAATCTGTTTCTGTCCTTCTAAGGAGGACTTTTGTCTGAGGCTGTTCCTGCCTTGGTTCCTTTCCAGTTCACACGTTACCAACAAGTCATCAGCTAAGCTTTGATTGCAGCGTCTGAATTAACGGAGGCAGAAGGAAACCACCAAGGCTTTCGAATCCCACTGTGGATTTGCAGTGCTTGCAGTTAGCAAATTTCTGGTTTGCGCTGTGAAGTGAACTGATTTTGTAGTATAATAATAAATTATTAGGATTCATTGGTATCTTTTGTACCAGAATATATTGGGGCCACTTTCGATGTGAGCTACATCGGGTAGATCAGAATTTGGCCCATACAGATCCTTTCATCTGAGGATTTCAGACTGCTTACCAGACATTAATTAATTTAAACTTCACAACACCCTTGAGACTGAATGAATACTGAACCTCACAGAGATGTTTCTATATTTTATGAAATATAAGCATGCTTAGAATTTCTAGGGAGTTTTTAAAGTCCAGAGGCAGATGAAGGAGAAGAAAATGAACAGCTGTAATAGCCTTAACCGCTAATAAAATAGTTTTCACTCAGGAAAGGGATAGGTTTATCAGTAGCAGTCAAGTCCAACAATGGAAAATTGTTTGTGTTTTTTCTTATAATTCATTTTACAATTGCTGTATTTATAAATTTTAGAATAGATAAGTAGGAATGCACTATTTACATGTAATAAAAATCTTAAGTGCATGACATGGCCTATATGTATTTTTAGTAATTAATTAACGTGACTGATACAAATGAAATGTATTGCATATTTAAATGGAGCTTTTTAGTTGCAGATTGAACTAACCTTTTGTTCTGTAGATTGATCAATTGTAATATTTTTGTTGCTTGAAAATTAGCATATCAATACCGTTAGGAGATGCATAATAGTAAAAACACTCAGAGTAGTGGAGGGATTGATTTTGAAACAAAAGAAGGTTGAAGTTAAAGTTGCTCTAGAAATGCAAAACGATTCATGTATTCATATATCCGGCCTTTAAAATGTTTTGTACTATCATTTGAAAGAAGTATTTGGATCAGCCGCACTGGGGAAAGAAATGTGCTCTGCTATGTACCTGGGGAAAGAGGGGTAAAGGAAGAAAGTGGGACGAAATCAGAAGTGATGCAGGAACTGAAGTTAATGAAAGCTGTGGTGGCAGCTGAAGTGCAGAAGCTTTGGAAAGGCTTTGGCTGCTCCATGAACAGATGAGTGTGTCGTGGTTTAATCTCAGTCAGTAACTAAGGCCCACGCAGCCGCTCGCTCACTCCCCCCCACCCAGTGGGATGGGGGAGAGAATTGGAAGAGCACAAGTGAGAAAAAGTTGTGGGTTGAGATAAAAACAGTTTAATAATGGAAATAAAATGATAATAATAATAATACACAAAACAAGTGATGCACAGTGCAATTGCTCACC